AAAAGAATGAGAGGAAAATTTAGAAGAATCTAACCCACACATTTCTAAAATGTCTCTGAGTTTTCTCTGAAAAAATGAATAACATAATTTTTTTTTGCCTTTAGTTTGTGGAATTAAAAAGGCGGGGTCATCAACATTGGCTGGTACTAGAGTGCACATACGATTGTAAGCATTATACGGACAAAGCGGGGAATCTTTTATCTTAACCAATGGTAACTCAAGTTTCCTATTACCATATTGAATGGTTTTTGATCATTCCATTTTAACCAACAAGTAATCACTAAAAACAATGACGTTATTTCTGCATAATTGTTTGCGTGGATCAAAATTCTTTGCCGAAGTTGGAACTAGATTAGACTTTCTAACCATAAGTAAAAAGGCAAACAAAAAAACAGCACTAGAAAGTTACATCAGACGGATTAGACATATAAAAAAATTCATACATTTTCAAAAGATTATGTGGAGTAATAGGCAAAGCTTTATAAGGCATATGAGGATTTTGACGAGACAAACCTCTAAACAATAATTTTATGGAAAACCAATCTTCCGTTGGAAACTCAAATCCTAATAGCAAATGTAAAGTAATGACACCACTAATATAATTCTGAATAGAAGCTACACTCTTAAAATTTCTGCTTAAAAAATTTCCATATAGACAAAGAGTATTTACAGAAGCAGGTAAAGGTGACATATTGAAATATGTGCAAAATAAAAAATAAGAAACAATTGCACTGTCAAATTCTTGTAAGTTCCTTCTGCAAATGCAGATTGCTTACACAACTCTGTGTCTTTCTGTAACTTACGTAGTTGAGTATCTACAATAAACAATAAAAATAAAAATCACCAAGGTGAGGTAAAATGAAAGAGATCATCATTCAATTCAATTTCTGTCCAAGAATTGACACGAGCCTGCTTTAAAAACTCAGTGCTAATACCGGGATCCATATCCCACCTTGAAAGCATGTCAGCAACTCTGTTTGCATCACCACTCAAATGCCGTCCTTTGACTTGAAACTCATAACTAGCTGTCAGAAAACAGATTACTCTGAGACAAGATTGCATGAAAGTATTTCTGCAAGCACTAGAATTTAGTACAGTGACAGATGAGGAATTATCACAATAAATAACAATCTTAGAAACCTTGAGTACACTCGCCCATACTTTCAGACACACCATAACACAAAGAAGTTCCAGAGCATTAATATGCAACTGTTTCCTGCGAATAAATGCCGGAAAGACAGTATGAAAATACCTCCCATTACAAATACCTCCACAACCAACCAAGGTTGAATCACAAGAAAGCACACAATCTGCATGGACTAGACCAGTCAATAAGAAACATCATAGAAACCCCATGATTACCACAGTTGTCCAATACTTCACCCAAAATAGCATAAGCATCAAAAGCTTTTTCTTGTACGTCACAGCCCGCTAGATCATCAAGATAGTTAACAATTTGTAAATCATAGTGAGCGTCCAATATAAAACTAACCGCGTTGGTCACCCTTTGACAAATATACGCAGCTGACCTTAAGCCCATGGACAATACCCGATCATAAAAGATATGATTTTCCCATGAAAATCCAACCAAATGCCAATCACCAGGACAGATTGGAATCTGTCTATACGCCCGCTTTAAATCCCGCTTAAAGCACAAAGAACCAGAACCTATTTTCCTTATCAACTCCACCAAAGAGTCAACTGAAGGATAAGAAACCTTGATAGGATTACCCAAATACAAGTCCTTACATATATGACTGTTTACCGAGTCCTCACTATCAACACCAAAACTCAAATCTAAAATCACCCTACGATCTAAAGTATCCTTCTTCGGCACAGAATTTAATGGAGAAATAACCATGTCAGTCTCAAAGGGATTACTAAAAAAGGGCCCAATAATGCTACCGTAAGTGCACTCTTTTTTTCAAATATTTCCTCATATCATCTGAATGGCTCTTGCTCCAGCATGATTTTTCTCTACAGACAAACCTGAACAAGAACCTTCGCAACTCAATGGGAACCCATATTCTAAAAAATTAACTACATCTGAATCATGATACATAGATAACATAGATCTAAAAAAATTGATATTCAGTTTTGAGTATACAGGAATTTTACAACCAAATACATTTGGCATGCCTGAACTCTTAACCTGATTATGAAAACGCACAAGATTTTCAATACCATGTTCACCAAAAATATGTTTTAAACATGTTGAACCCTCACATATATTGCAAAATTCTAGAGCACAAACATTCTCAATGTTACTGCCATGTAGTCATAACTCATGATGAGGACACGATGGATCTAACTCGGCATGGGGCAATTTCTTGTTATCTTTTAATAAACAAGACGCACAAACATGTTGCACATACCTAGTGACCCCCTTAATGACCTTATCATGAGCACCTGAAAAAGAACATTTCTTTTTCTGAAAATCAGAACAAAACCAAACTGACGGTGCTTTTACAATATTAGCAGATTTGTTACTAACTCTATTCTGTCTAGATCTGACGGCACTGGCTAATAAAGGAGTCTCAATGTCCGCAGTATCATCAGACCACTTATTTTGACCAGATTCAACCCGACGTATCCAGGCAGCATAGAATTGTAACAAAGCTTTCCAATCATACAATTCATAGTAATACGAAATTTTCTTTAATAAAGCTAATCGACCATTCTTTTTATGAATAATGGAAGTAAAAAATAGACATCAAATAATTGAAAATTCAAAGAAGTCCCAGAAAGAGGGATTGTGATGGTTTGATTCTTCTATTTTGTTTTTGAGATACGTTGATATGCGACAAATGAAATCTAACAGTTTGCCTGGTTGGGTATTGAAGGTATAACTTTATTTTTTGATGTTTTTTTTATATGAGAAAATCAGATTGTAATTCATACTTAAATATTATCAATTGTGTCATGTATGTCACTGATGATATTGTATTTCTGGTTTCATGTCACTAAATCCAGATTAAATTACAATTAATTGTAATTACTCTGCCTTTCGGGGCGTCTTCAATTGATAATAGAAATTATTGTATTGTTTCGCAGGCATTTTCTTTATTTAGGCATTTTGTAAAATGCCTGAAAACTTTAGGCATTTTCTAAAATGCCTGTAAGATTTAGGCAATTTATATACATTTTTTTTCAGGCATTTTAAAAAATATTTGAATTATTTTATAAAATGAAATGTTCACAAAAACTGAGCCATTGAAAGTATAGAACAACACAGACGTTTTATCTATGATAACAAGGAATTGTATATATTTAGATAAACAATACCTTGATGATAATAACTGAATTTTGACTCTTGCATTTAAAGAGATTTAATCATCAAAAATAAATTCAACTGAATTAGTAAAAATTTCCACACGTATTGAACTCTACTATCAGTATTTGTTATTTCATAAAATATTTGGATGGCAGGTTATGTTGCACATTTGTCCTGATTTGTTGGCAAATACATAGTTTGGCAATAAATCTGGTCTTAGAACTACAACTTCATTCGGTGAAACCCGGACCATAACACTTACAGCTCTGTCAACGTCAACATAAAATGTAAACGTTTGAAAAACATGGGTTTTCGCAAAAAGCACACGCATGAATATCTTTTTTTCATGTGTTTCCAAAAGATTCACATTTTGAAGTATTATTAGTGTGATTACTGGGTTAACTCACATCTTTTGGGTTATCAGAACATTCATTAGGCTGGATATTCGCATTGTGGGTGATGCATGTATAGCAGGAGACGCTTAACTTTAATAGACGCACTTTGATTTGTCTCTTCTTGGTTCATTGTTTTATTATAGCACCAATACGCTACTATCGCCTTAATTCATCAGATTACAAAGACCTAAGAATGTCCTCGAGGCAGTGACGATGAAGATACTCATATCTTTACTTCATAACCAAACACGATCTTGTATGGTGAAACCAATGCTTTAGAGGAAATTCGTTTTTCTCTGCAGCATGTAAAAATTTGCATTCTTTCTGAATTGGGACATTAAATGTGATGCCTTGTTTATAAAAAGTACCACACTCTCTGAACGTTAAAAACTCTGCCTCAAAGGTGGCCTTGTTGGAAGGTAACATCTGTTCCTATCCAACATACCTTCTTTTCAAGCGATAGTCAAAATTCTTGTCCTTTATCCGATCAATCCATAACAGAACTTACCTATTTGATATATTATCAATTTTTTTCGCCCTGAATAAGAATAAAATAATTGCCACTGAACACAAACAAACAACAATCAGTCAATCAAACAACGGCCTTCTTTTTCTCTGCTTAATATTTCACACTTTGAATCTAGATTTTTTTTTAAAGTTGTTTGTAAATTTTGTATTATTGTAAGAACAATTTGTCCTTCTGTCACCATGACAAGAAAGTCATAAAATTACTATCTGAAATACGAATTAAGTAAGTACAAATGTTAAGTAGTTTCACTTAAAACAAACCTATGTACACACAAACTTTCTCAATTGGAGAACTTGATAAACTTAATTTTTCTGTACCAAGTTAGGTATTTTCTTTGCAAGATATTGTCTGTTTGGTCATATCTCAATGATTTTCGTTTTTACAAATTACCTAAAACTGAGCAGGCAATTTGTTGACTTTTATTTAAAAATTCCAGTCGTTTTAGAAAATGACTAGGTATTTCTGGCAAGGAATTATATATTTAAATATATAATTCCTTGTTTCTGGTCACAAGGTTAGGCTTTTTGTAAATTGCCTGAAAATTCAGTCATTTAACAAAATGCCTAAATTAAGAAAATGCCTGTAACATACAATGATATTTATAATATACAGAGTATGAGTAATACAAACAGTGGAAATACTTAAGTTAATTTAAATTTGCCACATTTAATTAAATGCCCTAAGTCACGCCTACTTGTCATGCATGAATCACCATTATTTTGACTGAGTCACCAAGTCATTCAAACGTTTTAAGATATGGGAAAATGGATACCGAATGAAAACATTGATAGCGGAAATAGTGTCACGCCCACATCGATTGTTGTATTATGGGAGTAAGATGACCGGCTGGTGAGGAAAAACGCGAAATACAGACATGAAATGGAAAGCTTGGATTACACCCTTATAGGACTAGCTATACTATTATTTGCAGGATGGTGTTTTAATTTCTTCTTACATATTTTAGCAATAGTGTATGGGTAAGTTATAGATATCATATAATTTTAATACTTTAGCTGCGAAGCATAATCTTTTCCATGATTGAATGATTATTTATTTATGGGTTGGGCAGTAGTCCCATCCTTTTTCTTCATCTGGTATAAAACGGGGGGAAATAAAAATAATAAAAAAACACGTCAGACTTTCTACCATATATGTTAAGTAAACACATTTAATTGCGTGTTGTTTTGTCTCAACAGTAATGTATTCAACATAAACAACAGCACGGTATCTGTTTGTCCAGAGGCAGAGACATACATGTACATGTATTAGATGTCTCTGGTCTGTCAGTTGGTCATTCAGAAAATATTGATTTTGATTTGTATTGATCAATAAAAATAATCATGATATTAGTATTTAATTTATGATTGCCAGCACAAAAACTGTCTGACAAAGACCATCTTCATCTTACTGCTTTTTATATTATTAAATTTGTTTTTTTATTTAAATTAGTTTTATATGAAGTTTTATGTCAGATTAATTTGTGTATTATCATTTTTGTATGTCGAAACTATAAGCAGTTTACATGAAGGGACTCCATTTGAAACAAGCTTCATACTTTATGGGTCATCCCTGATAAAATATCAGCCAATTTGTTTCCGTACACAAAAGGTTCTATACTCACCAAATGCTCTATTTTATCAAGTATGTGTTAGTATATGTTTTTATATATTGTATATTGTGTATTGTAAAACTTATATGCTTGACATTTTATTGAATACAATATTATTATTATTATAAAGAGTGAAAGTGATCATCTTAAACATGTTTATAAAATTACAATAAAATCCAACCAAATTTAAGGCTGTGTCAGTTTAACCTTTTTGTGAGCTTTGAGCCTTCCCATTGCCCTTACCTTTCACTATGGTGTCCAAGCATCTCAACCAAAACAGTAAGCGGTCTTCTTGACTGTAGGGATTTTAAATCAGCCTACTTTTAATTCATGTAGTTTGTAAACCAAATTTTTTTTAATGTGTCATTCAATTAAAACAAAAGCACTGACCACTTTAGATGGTACCCTTTTGGATCATTAGTTTGACAGCATCCATAGTGACTGTTTTGTCAAGCTTTGAAAAAGGGCTACACAATTTTGACTGCAGTTTGGCACATACAATTTCTAAAGACAAATGCAACATTTACTTGTAAACGCTAGGTTAGTAATACATGTATAATTACATGTATGTATCTACAGTACACATATCTTATTGAATTTTTTATTTTATGATTTTTCAACTCTCTAGAAATATTAGATATGTACATCAAATATTCAAATAAAAATCTATGTCTATATATATTGTCATCCATTTTGCTTAGATTAAGCAAATTAAATATGTTTAAACTAAACAATCAATTAATCTAAGCAAAATGGATGAGACACAAGTAAATCATACTTATAAAGTCTTCTCCATTAATTGATTGTTTATCACCTCAACAATTATCACATGCAATTAACCCTAATTAGTCTAGAATAAACTAATGAATGGAAAGGGTTGGCAAGTTCAAAAGTCAATCTTGGACAAAAGAAAAAAGGCAGTATGATGTTTTGCCATTGTCACATAAAAAGGGGTTGACGACATGAAAAATCGCCATGATGTCAACAAAGAATTGTGTTAAATAAAACAATAGACCCAACTACATGTTTTTGGAAACAATATTGCACTGATATGAAAATAAGGAGATGTGGTACGGTACTACCATATGATTACCAATTGTTAATAGACAACTACCTGATCAAAGTACAAGGATGTGTACAGTAACAGGTTGCTGTATAACAATAGGCAAAACCTGAAAGAAGGCATTAAAGACCCATTGGTGGCCTTCGGCTGTTGTCTGCTCTTTGGTTGGGTTGTCTCTTTGACATATTCCCCATTTCCATTCTCAATTTTATTTAAAAGACCACGAGATGACAAAATGTGAAACACTTCAAGAGAAAATAGATTGTACCATTACACGTATATATTTCTGTGCGCCAAACTTTTCACTGTAAAAATTTCATTCAGATTTAGATAAAACATCACACAGTAAAAGAGACTGATTTTAAAAAGTAGAAGGAAGGGTTTGCATTATTTATTAAGGATGCTTTCCTTGGCACCCAATTTCCTGAATAACATTTTACAGATAGTTAGATACACTTGTGATTGGGAAATAAGAATTTATAATGTAAAGTTGTTTGGTTTTTTTTTTATAAAATCTAGGAAATGGAAGTTAAACAGAAAATTAACACCAGCTATACCTGTAGAAGAGCTCCCAGGAGTGACAATATTAAAACCAGTTGTTGGAGTTGACCCTCATCTTTATGAAAACTTAGAGACATTCTTCAGCATTAAATACCCACAGGTGAGATAATACAGATGTTATTTACAAGACAAAGCTTTTTCAGGCCTTTTCATACTTTTAATTGTTGGGTGAGATTGTTTTGCATCATCTATGCCCTAAGCACAAATTTATTGAGACTCTTTTTTTAAATGAAAATTTATCTATGTTTTTCTTGATAGAATATACATCACTTAATGATTGTGCAAAAGTCAGTATAACACCATTTTAACCTATACTTCATCAATTGCTACAATTGTGCATCATGGCGCTAAAATTGCTTTTGCCCCTAATGCCAGATTTGGACACAAGCTATATATATGTAAACTTAACTTGATTTCACAAGTTTTCATGTACTGCATATTTATATACGTGTTGTAAGGATTATCTTACAATGAAGAAAACTGATTACAATGCTAATAATCTATTATGATTTCCATAATCAAGATAATTAAAAGAATAATTGGATCATTTTCCTATTTCAATTAAATACAAATGAGGCAGAATACAATATTTTAAATTATTGGGAAATATGACTATTTCCTGACTTGGATTCCAAACCTCAATTTTTATTTCTTTATTATTAGTTGTATGTAAAAAGGTATGAAAAATATATAATTTGCATTATTTTAAAATAAAAAGTAATTGATTTTATATGAAGAAATAACACTTAGATCACAAATCGATTGTACCTCTCCCATTATTTCTGATAATTGATTGATTACTCTGCACCAATACTACAGACATAAGACATTTTGATGTGTCTTTATAACAACAATTTAATTGTATTGTGTAAAGAAAATGCAGATATATATAAAGGCATTTATTTTTATGTTGGTACATAATCTAAGAAAATTAAAATTCAATTTATTATTGTACTTTTTTTAAAATTCAGATTCAGATAAGAAATATTCATAAATCCATGGAAGTTAGGACTAAATCAATGCAGTCCATACAATTAACCCTTATCACATTTTGCATCTCTACCATCAAAAGATATTTTGTTCAAGAAAGATTGAAATGCCCCACCGTGAACAAAATATCCCCCCTCTTCAGAAACAAAATGTTGGCTTATGTTGGAAATAACTATTCTCATATAAAAATGTAAAATTAGAGAAACATCTACTATTACGTAAGAATCATCATCAAAAGCTACTTAGCTTTCGTAATTTGTTTTAAATAATCAAACTTAAACGGTGACTTTTTTAACTATATTAATTTAACATGACTTGATAATACTTGCAAATGTTAACATAATATCAAATATAATGATACAACAAAATAAAGTAATATTAATCATAAAATGTCTGAAAATGGTAGTTGATCTAATGACCCCCAACACTCAAATGATCATCCACTACATGTATATATGGCAGATATAAGGAAAAAATGGAGAAAGATAATTATTAGCCCTGAGTCTAAATATCATATTTTGAAGAGTGCCATTCAAATCTGTAAACAACTTTAAGCAGTATACCAAGCCTTTTTAACCAGTAAATGTCAAATCATACATGTATATATTCAAATATTCCCTTGTCTTCTACAGTTACTACCTGTATGCATTTTTTTCAAGCCTATATGTTCAAAATTCTAATATGCCATTCATAATTGAAATACGTTATGTAAGTTCTGGAATTATTTACATATGCATGTTTAATCACCAGGATGTGTGAATGGTTGTCATGTTAATTACTACATACTGTGTTGTGTTTGCACATGAGTTGTAATGGAATTTGGTTAGGTCAGCTGTGATGGACAAGATAACCTCAAGCTAGGTTAACAACACTATTAATATCAATTACCATGCTTGAAATTATGACATCAGAAATTTGTGAATAAACGTTTTTAATTACTTTAAAGAAATTAAAGTACATTCTTAACATATCTTTTTTTGATAGAAAAAAATATTGTATTTGTTATTCTCAGTGTTCTCCCTAGGTCATTTTAACCGTGACAGTATAACCTTTAACCCTGATCCTATTACTCAGTATTGGAAATGAGTTTTTGAGGTTTTACAAGAAAGATTGGTTCACCGTAACACTTCATGTATAATTTTCATTAATATAAATGTCTTGACTCTTCTATGCCAGGATACTGTTTTTCTAAAAAAAACCAAAAAAACATCCATTTCGGAGAAAGTTCTACCAATGTATATAAACATGTTCAGTTGGAACAGTAATCAATTCCTCTGAATGAAGCATGTGCCAACATTTACACACATGGTATATCTCAGTGCTATAAATATCATTTCATTTACAGTTATTTTATATGGATAGATATATTATGCTTCTTATTTTGAAGCAAGTAGTCTTCATACAAAATATGGTACATTTAATTCTTTGACTAGTATAGCATAAACTATCAAATTTAGAATATCTGACAAGAAAATTTTTAGAGATGAAAAAATTTAATAGGATTTTGACATTTTTGTTAGGGACATTTTTTTTTAAAGTATAATGGAAATAAACAGCAGTTCTGATATTTTTTATTTATAATAAAATTGTATGATGCATCATCATGTGTGGTGTATTTTGGGAGTGTTATTGAAGATCATTAAAAGTAATGTTATAATGATGAACAGATGTTTTTCCCCAATATTTGTCTGATTTGATGTAATGAGACTAAGTAATGTCAGATAATTTCACACATCATTCAAGGTAGCACAGTTTACACCTTACATTGTCACATGTTCTTAGCTTTTTGTTATTGATGAATATAGCTTTTTGTTATTGATGAATATAGCTTTTTGTTATTGATGAATATTCTGTATAAAAGAAATTTATACAGGTTAGTCAGTTCTAGACTGACCAAGACCTAGCAAAATAATCTATAATGATAAGATAAGATAAAAGGATAAGAATGTGTATTCACCAACTTAAGGCCCCTGGAGAGCATATAAAACAAAAACAATATGATTGTATATATACATGTATTTATGGGAAGAAAACTTGAACTCCTGTAGTGAGTTATGATAAGTAGACAACATTGCCCCGATATTTTCTTGTTTTCACAATCTACTTTGTACATGTAAACTGATGAAATGAGATGATTAATTAATACAGGACACAAAATATGTATAGAATGTAAAACATGTGAAAATTGAGGTAATTGGGATAACCATATTAATCTGTGTATAAATAATAATAAAATGACACACAGTTCGGTCATCTTTCACCTTTATATGTCAACATGTTACACAAACTGTCATAACATAATGTTAATAAGTCTATATACCTAACAACCTTGAGAAAAAAGTTAAGCTACATGTTATTGTACAGAGTACATGTTAATCTAAATGTTGAAATTTTTACCATTTCATTTACATTGTAGCTTCTATTGCCATGTTTGTGTGAAAAATTAGCGTCCATTGATTTCAGAGTGTTTATACTTGTATAGAGATTTCACTTTAGCACCAGAGAAAGGATAAATAACCACTATTTACTTTATTAGCTATTTTAAATTTTAATTATAATTGATGTATTGATTACTAGAAAATAACAAGATTAAGGGGCTTATATGAACTGAAGAAAGTGAAGTTCAGAATACTTTTATGTCACATAATGTGAGACAACGTTTCTCACCGGCAGTGACAGCATAAACTATTTGTAAAAAAGCCCAGTTGTCATTATCAAAGTTTACAAAACTTTGACCATGTAAACTTGGTCAAGTTATTGATTGTCAATATCAAAAACTTGGTCAAAGAAAAAACTGCACTAGGATTGGAGAATTCCTGTCCAAGTGCATCCAAGGTTCAAGAAAAATAGGATGAGATTCTTTTCCATCCAAGTGAACTTCAGGTATATTTTGTGTATGGAATGAGTGTAAGGTGTACAATTGTGTCTTGCAGGGTTCATCTGACCTTAACTTATGTTCATTGTTCTTTGGTGAATGTTGTTTTTTTGTGGTTAGGTCTATTTCTCAGATACAATAAGCGATAGGTTATCTATATTTGATGTTAATTTGTCTAGCAGGGTCCATCGTAGTTGCAGAACTGTAGCTCATATGGTTTTTGGGATATTTTTTGTGTTTACAGAACATAGATGGGATATTTTTGTTTTTGTGGACGATAGATACAAAAATATCTAACGGATACAAAAATTAACCCAAGTACCATAAGAACTGCAGAACTTTATGCTAATCTGACATTTACATCATTTTCATGGTTCATTTTTCATCTTTAAATTTTTGTGGTTATGTCCATTTCTCAGATAATATTGCAATAGGTCATCTCTACTGGTGTATAGCATTATTGAAAGGTATACATGTCCATCTTGCAGGGTTCATCTGACCTTGACCTTTTTTTCATGGATCTTGGATAATGTAAAAGTTTATGTGTTACCTGTAGTGAAACCTTAATCTTGATGACATGCACCATAAATTTCATTCATGATCAGTAAAGCAGACACATATTTTAGCATGTGCACTCTTATTGGACATGGATATTTACACTTGAACAAGACATTTCTGTTAAATAAGCTTGACTGAAGAAATTTGACCTTTGTCAAAATCATAGATGGCGACATCATTGCTTTTGATTATAATACAGAAGTCTTACATAGGATGTTATGAAAATATACAAGTTGTTTTTTTCCTAAGAAGAAAAATATGTTAATAAATGTTTTCTAAAACCCAACAAAAGGTTCTCTAAACTTTTTTGCAAAGTTGAAATGGCATGATTTCCCTAGAAATTTACTACAGTGAACCTGTGGAGAACACTGTTAAACTTATCTGAAAGAATCCCATGGGTGTCTAGTTTGATATTTGTTTTCTCGACATGTCTCTTAACCTGACTTGCAAATAATTTACATGTCAATTAGCCTGCCCCTTCAGATTTAAGTACATTTGTTTCAGAAACTCATAAGCCTCTTGTTTGTTAACTATTTACATAATACTACAGAGTCCTTACAGTTGCATAATAATTATTACCAAGAATAACAAAACAGATGGGAGCACCCATGTGGGATATCTTTATATTTATTGTTTATTGATGAAGTATGCATGATTTTATCTGTTACGGAAAATCC